GTTTCTTTGCAACATTAGTCTACTGAACTTCAACTTTCCTGTCTTTCTCCTACTGTTCATCCAAATGGGCAGCCAAAAGACAGCAACCAAAGCCGGCGCACGAAGGTACATGGTTTATGGTTGTTCAGACTGAAACCGGACTTCGGCGAACTTGTTTTTTGACGAATTATTCTGCTTACTGATTCTAGTTTGTCAACAACCGGAGGTCTTCCTTGGGGAAGAAGTTGACCTATAGAGGAGAGCAGTGAGGTGACAGCTGTTGGCTGGTTTGACAGTTTACAATAAGTAGTAGTTAGTTGTATGAGTAGGGATTGTTCGGTGGGACCATTAAATTGGTGTCGGACAATTACATTCCTTTAAGTTGAACCTTGGATTGAAATTTTGAAGAAACATGCAATGGATCTGATAATGCGGTCCTATACTTTGTGCTTACGGATGAAGAACTGTAGACTCGAAGTGTTGGAGCTTAACGAAACCGCTGACAACGTAAATCACTGGAAGTCTCATTGGCAAGATCCACAAATCATCCGGTTATAACTGAAGTGAAGCATGCGGAGTCCTTGATAGAAATGGACGTGAAGAGACGTCGACTACGACAGGTCGTGATGCACTTCAGAACGGGAACCCCGAGCTTGCAACACAACCAAGTTGCCGCTGGTTAAACCAGAAGACTTGTGGTTGTTGTAGACGTTTATTGAGATACCGTGGCACGGAAAAAGTACCGGTAGCGGCTAACGAGCGTTTGCGTTATAGCACGAAGGCAAGAGAACCAACGAGCGCAATAACGAGCAAAACGGAGCGAAAGTGAAAAGTGAAAGTTCCCTTCGCGGAAGGATACAGCAGTTTTCGATCGTATAAAACAAACATCACATAGCGTTGGTACTGGAGTAAAAATGTGAATGTACATTTAGATTGTAGAGGAAGAATGATGTCCGGCAAATGTCTGCTATTGTCCGGCTTTCACCGTACAATCGGCCACACTACAGACGCAAGAAAGTTCCACTTCACTCTGCGTGAAACAGATTTAAGAAAAGCCGGTTGCAAGTTCCGCAATCAAAAGCCTTTATGAACATTGTGAATGAATTCAAAGGTTTCAGGAAATCCAGGATCCAAGAGTTATGGATAAAAAGTGCTTCAGCAATAATACGCTGGAATTTCGAATGTTCCCTGCAACATTTCTACCATGCAAGTTTTTGTTGGCCGATTCATAGTTGCATCGTAAAAGACCAAATCATCAACGGAAAGTACTGAACATTTGAACTGACCCAGGTTATTGCGGATTCATTCACCTTGGAGCAATTTGTTTTACCACACTAATCAAGGGCGCTAGTTGGGCCTAGTTTCGGTTGTTAAAGCGTGCCGCTCCGTGTTGTGCCCGATCAAGCATGAGTAGAGTGCCGAAGGTTTTCGGCAAAACCTATGCCACTCCCAGGCGACCGTTTGAAAAAGAACGGTTGGATCAAGAGTTGAAGCTCATTGGCGAATACGGTTTGCGAAACAAACGCGAAGTGTGGCGTGTGAAGTACGCTCTGGCGAAGATTCGGAAGGCTGCTAGAGAACTGCTAACCCTGGATGATAAGGATCCCCGAAGGTTATTCGGAGGTAAGTGCAGTAGTGTATTTCCGCATGTCCTTAGGTTCTGCCCTCCTAAGGCGATTAGCACGCATAGGCGTGTTGCCCGAGGATAGGATGAAGTTAGATTTCGTCCTTGGTCTTAAAATAGAGGATTTCTTAGAAAGGCGGTTGCAAACTCAGGTTTTCAAATTGGGTTTGGCTAAGAGTATTCACCACGCACGAGTTTTAATTCGTCAACGTCACATCCGCGTACGGAAACAGATGGTCAACTGCCCTGGTTTCATGGTCCGCTTGGATTCGGGCAAACACATTAACTTCAGTGTGACGTCTCCTCATGGCGGTGGCCGTCCAGGTACGTTGCTTTTCTTTTATGGTTTATACCGTATTAGGACGTGTCAAGAGGAAGAAGGAACGCAAGGCGCAATCCGAAGGCGACAATGCCAGCGAAGAAGAGTAATCGGTCAATAAACAATCTGCGGATAACGATCGCGTTTTCTCATATCACTTTGATTGTCGACTAACGGTTCCTGGCATCAAATGTTGTTAGGTGGGGATCAGTATGTGATGTTAAAATTGGATGTATTCTCCAATATGAAGAGTTATTCCTCGGTTACATGTGCAACGTTTTCGTGCAAAGGCGAATGAAACCGCCAAGTGCGGATTTTCTTTCGAAGCTGTGTAGATCGTAACACCCGTCGTGAACAGTAGTGTTTTTTCCCTGCGGTTAGATTGAGTCCCAAGCTTTCCGTCTTGTGATTGCCGACTGAAGATGTTTCGACCTACGTCTATATCTGTTCATTGTGTTGTCGGGAATGGTATCTATGGCCAGGTGAACAGCATTTCCTATCTACCTACCTAGTCTCTGGCGTAGTCAGAACAGACAGCTGAATGGAAGTTGTTCCAATACTGATATTTGCACTTTGAATGTAACCTAGAAGACTAGCTAGGTCCATCACCGTGGTTCTAACATTCGGAAGAGTCACTTGATGTATATCGCTTATTTGCAAGCTGTTTATCTCATGTCGCCTCGGTGGCTCTCGGTTGGTTCGCTCCCTTTCTCTCGAACATACAAGTCCGTTGTATCGATTCTAAATTGTCGGCACGCATACAGAAGGCTCGGTTGGCATTTGCCAACGTGAAACATCAAAGGCGCCGTCGCGACATCCCATTGTCTCTGAATGGTGGAGTGTATGCTGCAGCAGTTCGGCCAGTTTTGCTATGTGGCGTAGAAACTTGGTCATTAAGAAAACAGGATAAATATAGACTGTCGGTGTTTAAACACCGCTGTATACGCAGTCATGCACGAATCTGGTGGGGCTGCAGGGCGAGCAATGCCGAGGTTAGCCGCAGAGTTTTAGGTAACTGCGGTCGCGCACTGGGGTAAGTGGTCGACCTTCATGGAATACGTCGGTTGTGGCATGTTTTACGCATGTTGACAAACAGGTTTCCACGGCGAGTGATGTTTGCTGAGGCAGTTAGTGGTTGGAATAAAGATAAGGGTAGTCAAGCTAAGACCTGGTAAGCGGGTATGAAATCCCTAACCAGGGGACCGGGTTACATAGGTCCCGTTAGGCTCCCTGGATGGGGACCTCGGGATGATCTTAAGCGATGGTCAGAGACACTGAGTGTGATAAACAGTGATGTTCGTGTATCTTCTCAGTTTCTTTGCAACATTAGTCTACTGAACTTCAACTTTCCTGTCTTTCTCCTACTGTTCATCCAAATGGGCAGCCAAAAGACAGCAACCAAAGCCGGCGCACGAAGGTACATGGTTTATGGTTGTTCAGACTGAAACCGGACTTCGGCGAACTTGTTTTTTGACGAATTATTCTGCTTACTGATTCTAGTTTGTCAACAACCGGAGGTCTTCCTTGGGGAAGAAGTTGACCTATAGAGGAGAGCAGTGAGGTGACAGCTGTTGGCTGGTTTGACAGTTTACAATAAGTAGTAGTTAGTTCTATGAGTAGGGATTGTTCGGCGGGACCATTAAATTGGTGTCGGACAATTACATTCCTTTAAGTTGAACCTTGGATTGAAATTTTGAAGAAACATGCAATGGATCTGATAATGCGGTCCTATACTTTGTGCTTACGGATGAAGAACTGTAGACTCGAAGTGTTGGAGCTTAACGAAACCGCTGACAACGTAAATCACTGGAAGTCTCATTGGCAAGATCCACAAATCATCCGGTTATAACTGAAGTGAAGCATTTTTCTGTGAAGGTTGTTGTGATGCGGGAGATGATGGCGGGCAGCTGCTATAAGTGTGCCAGCTGGTTATTGACCTTAAACGACGGGAGAATAGTGGAGGAAGGTAGCCCATTTACACTTTCTGTTTTATTTAGAATTTTTGATAGATGTACGTCTTTCGCAAGCCTCCAGGAAGATCGTGAAATTTGTTTTGTCTTGGGCAGTGCAGCGGCAACTGGTGACCTCGGCGTAGGCAAAGTATTTCGTAAGCCTTCTTCACGATGATATTATCTGTGGCACGTTGGAAGGTGGCTACTCCGTTCGTAATTCCGAAATAAAGCCGGCGGAATTGTTACGACTAACGGCATGCCTGAAAGGCTGTCTAAGGTTTATGTTCTCGGATGGGAATTTGATGGTAAGCACTTTGAAGGTCGAAGGTACTGAAGAGGGAGTGTTCAGACACCTCCAGTAGTAGTAGGAGATGGTATGCATCAAGATGAGTGAACCGATTGATAGTTCGGCTGTAGTTGACAACCGTGCGTTTCTTATGTCTCATTTGTAGTCACGAGGTCTTGTACTCGGAAGGGTGAAGCTGATAGCTCTATAATATGGTCGATAACTATTTTTCGTATTTCGGTCTAGATGAATGTTAGATCCGAGGCATTGAGACGGCTCGATTTGGTGGCGATAAGAGCAATTGGGCGATGCATGCCTGCATAGAGGAGAATCATCGACATGTGCAGTTTTGAGAGCGCATAGGGTGAGAGATGGTTGGTGTCTATGAAAGGGAATAACTGTGTTGTTATTTTGACAGAGAAATCCGTGACCCAAAATCACATGCGTACACGGAATGTTTAACAGGGGAAGATTGATTCCGTCATAGTGTACAGAAGTGTAAACATGTCCAGGAGTGATACAAGATAAGCGCGTCGAATTCACGTATATGGTGCTTTTAGAAGGCTCCACGGGCCAGTTTTTGTTTCGCCGGAATATTTGATGATAGGTAGCTCTCGCAGCTACCAGTGTCTATAAGCGCGTACATCAGTACCCCATTAATGGTGTCTGATCACCATTCCCTTACACCTCGCGAAATGCTCCTAAAATAGCCTCCGCTGAGGAAGCCCTAATCACTGCCCTCCCGGGATGGTGTTTCTCCCACCAAAGTGGTGGGACGAAAAGCCGACACCTGGGTCTATAACCGGGTTGGTAAACCATTGGCAGGTCACCTAAGAGAGTTGGCTCAAAACCCTGATTCCAAACAAACTAGGACGAGGCGTGCGAACCACACGCACATCTTCCTGGTCGCCTCGTCAC